CACGGTTACTTTGGGAAAATGAAGCAGTTAACCCCTAAAGGTAGAGATGCCTGGGAGGTAGGAGGGTGCTGTGGGGAAAAGCAGCAGGTGGCCATCCCCTGTGAGCTGGCACAGCCACACTCACAGCCTTCCCAGCATAATCCCTGTACAAGGCTAAGTGGGAATGAGGGTTTTGAAGGAAAATGGAGAGCACACCTGATAAGGCTGAGGAAGGGGCTGCCAGGGAAGGGAAGACCCCCTGTTAGCTTGACCTAAGCCTAGCCCTTCCTCCCTTGGGAAAGGGCCCCACCTATGGGTAAAGGACCAAGCAGGAACTCTTGGCTCCATCATCACACATCCCTCACTCCCTCTGGAGTTCAGACCAGGGCTTGTAGGGTTGTTCAGAGCCAGGTTCACCGAAGATGGGCTAAGGGAGAACAAGAGCACCTTTGCAGTGGTGGTGCCATCTTCCTGTGGGTACACAGCAGAAAGCCAGAGGACCCAAACCTAAAAACTGGTGGCCTAGATGTGGGAGGCAGGTTAGAGGTTTGCAGGAAGGAAGAGCTGGGGAAGAGCTTAGTGCAGACCTATCTGTTGTGTGAATGCAGCACAGACAGAAAACTACTCAGGACCTGCATCTTGGTGACTTCTGGTAAGTTCACAATCCAGCATCAAATTCCAGGACCCAATCACAGCTACTGTATGCTGATGGCCAGAAATGTGTTGTGGGACTTGGTTGTCAAGCAAGAAAAAGCTTGGGAAGCAGACAGTTCCCTGCTTCAGGACTGCTTCATGAGGAGGTAAAGGATGCTGTAGAACCACCTGTGCCTCTCTGTCAACCACAAGCAGCAAAGTAAATGTAGTTGTCTCCCCGGTAGATGTCTAAGATTAGATGAACTCCACCCAAAGTGCACTGAGGCATTTCTTAGGTTCAAGAATAGGTTAAAAAAGTCATCAGAACTAGAAAACTCTGGTGCTGGGAATAGAGGACAGATGTGCTCTAGACCTGACTTCTGAACCAACGAGTTGTTGAAGGATAATATCCATGATCCTCTATCATTTACAGATAAACTTTGGAGCCATGGCTTCCAAATTAAGACAGCTGCCATGCAGAGTAAGTGATAAGAAAAAACCTTTAGATTCTGTTTTATTTTTTCAGAGAAGGCCACAGCTGAGGCTGTCTGCACTTTCCCCAAGCCATCAGCTCCTTGACAAACAACCCATTTCCTCTCCTGTCCCCATTCCTGCCAGAGCACCACAGAGCTCAGCCAGCAGTGACAGACCATGTTGCACATCACGGATGACTTGCTTGCTGGTAAGCAGGCTCCACCTTCCTTTCTCCCAAGTGCCTGGACACAAAGAACAAAGCAATGCCTGTACAAGCGTCACCAGTCCTTGATGCTTGGCTGATCAGCATCATCCCAGGCAGAGAAATAGCAGTTTTTGCTGGAAGGGAGCAGGAGCAGCTCTCAAAAGCAGAATACCCTGCTTTGTCCTGACATGGAGCACAACCCTTTCACCCTTTGCCATGCTCTCACCCACCTTCTCAGCTCCCAGCCTTCAGTCCTTGCAACACCCACAGTTTTTCCACTCTGCCATGAAGCCATGAGAAATTCCCTGCCAGAGGAATTCGTTCAAATGGGTTTTTGAAAAAAAAAAAAAAAAAAAAAAAAAAAAGCAATTCCCTACTCCAGGCAAACAAGCTTCTTCTTTTCCCCATGAGGAAGAAAGATAATACCACAGCCGGGGGAAAAAAACCCAAAAAAACCCCAACAAACTATCCCCAAAGCCTCCTGTAATCAAAAGAATAATTGCTCCAAGAGATTTAAGCCTACAGCTGAGTCACTAAAATGAAGAAATGTCTCCGTGTCCATAGAAAGCAAACAATTCTTGGGTCATGCAGCAGAGATTCTCTACGGCCTTGTTAGAAGGAAAGAAAAAAGCAGCCAAATGTAATTAATCATAGTCCCAGAAGAAAGGATGAAATCTCTGTAATTAACTACCTAGACTCATCTTTCCGCTTCTGAAAACTAATCCAGCTGCCTGCTTTCACCTTTCACCCACAACGCTGCCACAAAAGTCTGCTGCAAATACTAAATCACCTCTCTTTAGGGGTGCACTCACCTGCAGCAAGTGGTCCCAAACAGCTTTGCAGAAAACGTAGAGGGAGGGAGAATCTCTGCAGAGTGCAAACAGAACTCCTTTTCTTAGTCACCTTTTTGGATAAACTGTTAGGGAGTTTGTACTCTCCAAGAATCTGTGTAGCCCTCAGCTGAACTACAGGAGTTATTTTCAAGCTAGGTATTTTATATCCACAATCCTGACCCAATTGCTCAATTACCAGAAAACACCAATTAAGAAAAAAAAAAGCATACAAAAATGAAAACACTTTTCAAATCGTGCTTGAGTTAATAAATTGGCTTATACGTCATTCTCAGGTGGTGAAATTTACCTGACCATCAAAGTTTTGGAAAACATGGGGGGAAAATGTAGCACTTTAAAGAGAAGAAGAGGAAGGGCTGGAGCTGGCGGTTCAGCTCAACAGCTGAGGTCAGGATTTAATATCCAAAAAAATCCTATGCAAATCAGAACAAGACATTTGACTTCCCCAGGGCTCCCGTAATAAATAAGGGTTGACAAATATTATTCCAACAATGAAAACAATAACAGACCAGTTCTTTAGGTCAAATACATCAATGGTAAATACAACACAGAAGACTAATACCAAAATGACATCAGCTGAGGAACTGAGACTGATTTCTACTCTCTTGCATACAAAGCACTGCTAACATATGAATAATGCTGTCAACAGCACATAGGGAATGCTGGCCAGCTTTGTGGTGAGGGAAAGCAAAGTACAGAGTGGACAGCTTTGCTCTTCATGACACAGCAGAAATGCTTCTTTTCAGTGGAAGGTGATTGTGTCATTCTTCTGGGGGAAAAAAAAATGGAAGTGATTATGCAGCTCCGAGTACAGCTGGGGCCTTCCTGTACAAATGTGGGAAACAAGCGGGGAGGATTATCAAGGCCAAGGAGCCTCGGGCATGTCCACAAGGCAACACCCACTCCTTCCTGTCCAGGTGTGCGGCAGACACAGCCGGAGGGGACGGCGATGCTCCGGGGGCTGTTCCTGGCACAGAGCTGCTGTCAGCTGAATGAATCCCTGCTCCCCACCCATATCGGCCAACACACTAAAGCCAGGCGGACTGTTCCTCGAATCTTTGCACTGAAATCTGCCAGAGGAGCTGAGCACCGTGGGGTTTGGCTGCAGCAAACCTTGGTAGCAAACACCCAGAGTGGCTTCCTAAGCCTGAAACAGCTCTTTATCAAATCCTATCGACCCTCTCTGCACATCTGGGCGCTCAGGAGGGCGCTGCCAGCACGGCAGAGCTTATCCCTTGCTAACAATTCCTATCGTCCTTGCAGGGGGATGCATAGATCCTCACGGAGAAGACCCGGTGCTGCTTTCCCCGGTCCTGCAGAGCAGGGATGCTCGGGATGCTGCGAGGCTTTAGCAGAGGCCGAAGCTGCCCTCCGCAGGATGCCAGGGAAACAACCCCTGCCTGGGAATGCCAGAGCAAACTAAACAGCCCCCGCCTGGGAATGCCAGGGAAAACTAAACAGCCCCCGCCTGGGAATGCCAGGGAAAACTAAACAGCCCCCGCCTGGGAACGCCAAGAGTGAGGTCGTTTTCCACGTGCAGCTGCTTTACTTCCTCATAATCTCGGGCAAGGTTCGCTTTTCTCATCGATGTGCTGCAGACATAAAGTTTAAGGTCCAGAGGCTTTCCCGGGAGCCTCCCGTTGTGCATCAGCACCAAGCCCTAACATCCAAAAGCTAGACTGCCTCCAAGTCAATGATCCTGACTAATTAAATTAAACAGGAGAATCCCTTCCATGGCCGCTTTTCTATAAACCGGTGACTGATGCACACACTGCAAAGTGAAACCCCATACATTTTCGCTATATAACAATGCTGCTTCTATGCAGATCAGTGCTGCCCTTATGCTGATGTTCAATATGGGCATATAACCAAAGCTGAGAACTGAGGTAACCTTTATTTCAGTTAACAATAAAGGTCTACAATTACTGTATTTGATAAAAAATAATACTTATTAAATCCAGCACTCAGCCAGCAACGTCTATAAATATTTTAAATGCCTGTCAGTTAATATTATGTATGTCTCCAATTTTAATTTTATGTAATCATGTAATAACTACAAAATTAATCCTCCTGGTCAGTTTTGTGTCACTTGGCCAACACTACAAAGGTAAAGCAGCCAACAGGTTTTAGGACTGCTCCCTAAGGTTACATGGTTAAAGTGTTCTACCCAGCCTATGAAAGGATTTCACACACAAAATGGCATCACTGCAGCACCTGAATGCATGTGGATGCACAACGGGGTTCAGAGAGCAACACATGGCACCCCACATCATAATCCACTGTGCCCCATGCAAAACACCCAGGAGATTAGGACCATACACAGTCCATAGATCTTATGGCACTAGGACAAGTCTGAGAGTAATTTTTACCCTCTATTCTACACAGTAGAGTTATTTTAACCTGAGTCTGCAGACGCAAGTATCCATAGTAAAGAGAAGTAGAGCAAGACAAAAGCCTGAAAGGTCACAAGGGATTTTTTTTTCCCCCCACCAGAGCAATGCTGGGGAATCCTCCAAGGAGATTCCGGCCATATGCCTGCAATAATCATTTCCTAAAAGTGTGCTTTTCAGCACACTAAGCTCCCAAGACAAGACAATCAAGAGAAAGACTGAATCCACTTCTCAATCCAGCATGTTTTTAAATGCATTTAAGTAGGCAGGTGAGATTTTCAACAAGATCTCCTTGAAAACAGTGGGAGTATTTGTAGCAGCATGGAAAGCAAAATTCTGAGTTCTGGTATGGTCCTCTACTGCCACCAGGAGTAAGATAGCATCAAAAGCTGCAGGGCAGCAGAATATCCCTCAGCAGCTCCCTCAGTGATTGCAACAAAATCAATACCAAACAAGCAGGCCACTCACCCGAATTTGGTGGACAGAACACCTCCCATGGCAGAGCCAGCAATGATGCCCACTCCAAAGCAAAGGCCCAGCCTCCCCAAAGCACCAGCACGTTGGGAGGGAGCAGTCATGTCTGTAATAACCTTCTGAGCACCTGCAGGGGGAAAAAATATCCCTTAAAAGAGCCTTGCCACAGTGTTTGAGCAGATGCACCAGCAGCTCCCATGGTTTTACTGCTAAGCCATTAAGAGTTTTTTGGGTTTGTTTGGATTTTTTTCTCTTTTTGTTTTTGGGGATTTTTTGTGTTTTTTTT